CTTTTTTTTTCGAACTACTTTTTTTTTTGTTTTCTATATGTTGCTTCATCAACTAGTTTTCATTTTTCAACCAAAAAACAGAATGATTTTTTTTGCTCGTGTTTAATGTTCTATATATGTCGATCTATGTTTGTGTATCTGCACGACTGGAAATAAAAATAATAAAAAAAAAAAAAAGAAAAACTATATTATATCATATTTTATTCAGTATGCAAAATGTGAATTTTTCTTGATAAAATCTACTAAAAAAATAAAGAAATCAATGAAAAATAAGTGATTGTAAAAAAAACTTAAATATTTATTCAGTCCGATATCCAGATGTCAAAATATTTTTTGTTGATTTGATGGAGACAATCACATACATTACTGATATTACTTTTTGCTCTTGTCGTATTTCTCCTCCTTTTCCTGTGGCGTAAATTTGACGTCAATTTTATAATAAAAATGCCAACAAAGCCTATCCATAAAAATTGATTCATTATCGCACGACCGTTTTTTTTTTCTTCTTTCTATGGTTTAGCTGTTATAGCTTATTACTCATGCCCTTCAGTGGACTAACTATAAAAGAAAAAAAAAAGGCGCAAAGAATGAAAAATATCGGCTCAATAAAACCATCAAGAAAAATTAACTTTTAGTCATTTGAAAACAATAACAACTGAACTATGGCAGGTGTTTGCGCAAAATTACTGTTAATATTTGTTAGTTTAATCCTTCCCCCCATTGCTGTATGGATCGCAAGAAATAAAGTCTGTAGTGGTACTGTATCACTTAATATTCTTCTTACAATACTTGGATTTGTAAGTATTTTTATCATAATTGAATTAATTATCAATTTAGTTGCTTTTTTTGAAAGGTTCCTGGAATTATACATGCTTGGATTGTCATTTGTTGTTGTGACAATCTTGATTCATAACTCTCAAAGAAAACAAAATATTCATAAATTCTTTGTTCTTGTTTTTTTTTCTTCTTCTACAAGAACATGTATACAAATACAAAAAAAAAATTGCAATATTTTATTCATTAAAGAAAAAAGTACAATTCGATTTTGTTTACGAATGAATTACAATTTCTTTTGTTTTACTAGGATTCATATGAAATAATGAAAATAGATCGAAACCATTTCTATGCAATAAATTTTATTATACTTCGTATCTATGTTATGTAGCAAAAATTTTTCAACAGTTCGCAAGACATATACTATTCAGTTGCATGTCTGTGAAATTCAAACTTTTTAACTGTGTATTATAAGGAAAAGCATTAGCCAGGAAAAAACATGCATAAAATATATATTTAATCAGTGCCTTGTTGCTGAGTTTAGTTATAGTTAGAAAGAATGTTTTCGAGCAGCTGCTAATGGAAATATATGCAGGTTGAAAAAATCGTTAGTCTGCATTGCTTTCAAAAAAAAAACAACGAACATTATACTATATTTTATGATATAATGTAAACCGTTTTGTTGAATAAAACAAGATTAAGGAACTAAAATTTTGTTGATTTATAGAACTTTGATTTTTATATCTGCTGTAAAACTTGAATTGATATCAAACAATTGATTGAAGAGTAAGAGAGAAAAAATGATTTTTAAAATGTTACTCAGCAAGTTGACTATCATTGATTTTTATTACAAGGTCTTCTTATTTTATCTCTAAAACGAAATTGATCCGAGATAATTTTTTTATCGAGTTGTAATTGAAACGATTGTTTTTATAACACGTACATGCTGTTAGTTCTATCATAATAAAAGTTCGTGAATCGAGTTAGTGTTGTTCTAAACAAAAAAAACATAGATTTTGCCAATGCTTCTCAGATTTGGTAGACATTAATCCAGGACACCAATAAGAAATAAAGTTCAATAGAATGTTAAAGGCTCTGTAAAACGAGATTGTTTCCCGTCTATTTCAGCACTCTTTATCATAATCAAAATATTTTCTTTTCTTTACGTATGTCATTAAAAAACTAACGTTTTTATATTATGTGTTTCTCATACTTCAGTGAAGGTATTACCTACAGAAACAAATGTTGTGTACGTGTGAAAGTATTATAGAGAAATTTATATTTAGAAAATTGTTCAAATATAAACAAAAATCTCTATTGTACCAAAAGTTGCAACCAAACAGACATATCTATATAGTCAATGTAAAACAAAACCAAATAATTAAATTGTAAGGAATCAAAATTAAAGATATTTAATGAACTACTGTTGGATGACTGCGTGGTCGATATAAAATAGGTAAAATTGAAATACCCATTCGGTATTTTGATTTCTCATTGAAATGATGTCGATCAGATTTTATTTGGTTGAAATCATCTAAAATTTCCTTGCATATATCAATTGATAAACCCGACATATTTGCAGCTTTTTGTTCTGGTGATTTACTATTGTTTTGATCTTTTAATTGTAATGAAGGCTGTTGTTTTACTAAAAATGAATCTCGATTTGTTTTATTTGTTTGTGCATTACGTATGGTTCGAATCTGTTTATTTTGATAAGGTGAATGTTGTATAATATTGTCGACTGGACGCGATTTAGAATTGTTCTTACGTAAAGAGTTCATAGTAGATGATGAAAATGTACCAAGAGTACTACGTGAACGATTAAGAACAGAAGAATTTTTGACAGCAGTAGGAAGATCATAATGAACACCTCGTTTAACTTTCTCTGCTAATTTTGAATCTTCGTCATGTTCTTCTTTAGGTTGTTCTTTGATTTCACCATATAATTGTAAATTATCTTTGAACGGTTGTTCTACGTTTATAAGATCATATTTAATCATATTCAGTGTACTCATTGATCTGGTTCTTTCTAAATAACTCGCACTCTTTGATCGCTTTGAAGGATGAACTGAATCTGCCAATCTTGATATTGTTCGTCTAAGACCTCTAGTACATGCTTCGATACGATTACCATGTTTTAATGTAGGCCAATCATGAGTAGAAATTAAAGTTAATTGAGATTTTTCAATAACTCCAGCAGCAAGAAGTACTTGAGCAACTGGACGTGAAATTTGTAAATTATAATCATTTAATCGAAAACATGCACCAAATGATGATTCAAGATCACTACGCATTTTACTTAATGGTAAATTTGCATGAAATGATCGAACAGCAGTTTCACAACCATGTTCATGCTGAAAATTAGAACTTATTTTTAAAGCAGCAGATTGTACTTCTGGATCATGCACAAAAGTGAATGCAGTAGCTAATTGTTTTGCTGTTACCGTTTTACCTGGCATTGGTGGTGGACCAGCACCAGTTTTACTAATCATTGATCCCCAAAAGAATTGATCACCAAAAAATGGTACTATAATAGTAGGTTTTCCAGCACGAAGACCAGCTGCAGTTGTACCTGCACCACCATGATGACATACAGCTGCCACTAGAATATATATTAACAGTTGCTTTTTAGAATTAAACAAAAAAACAAAGATTTACCATGTTGAAAAAGCCAATCATGTGGACAATTACCAATGCGAAATACATTACTAGGTAGTTCATCAACATTTACATCAAAACCAGAAAGTAAAGCTCGATATCCAGTTATTTGTAAAGCTTCAAGTACAACTTGTAAGATTCGTTCAGAATCATGACCAGTAATTGAACCAAAGCCAATATAAATTGGTGGATCACCTGATTCAAGAAACTGAATAAGATCTTCCGGTGGTTTATAATTTGTTGCAAGATCAAGAAAGAAAAATCCAGATATATCAATATGTGGAGGCCAATCAGTTGGTTTAGGAACAAGCGAAGGTGACCAACAATATGTATGGGGTACATGTTCGTCTATCATTAAACGAACAGCTTGGCGAGTATGTAATGTTGATAAGCCAAGAATATTCTTACGAAA